TGCGGCGCACAGCGTGTGGAGCTGTGAACAGGGCCAACTGATCGGAAGCCGATTAATCTATTATTGAAAAAGTTGACAACTTTTTCAATAATCGATTATAATCGATTATGTCGATTAGTTGTTGCAGCCCTAGAGTAGATCCAAAAGTTTCTTTTATTGCAGAACAGAGACACATGTATAACATAGCCATCGTTTCCGAACCGCGTAGGGTCCCTTCATCAGGGCAAACACAGTGACAAATGAGTGAATATACAAAACTCATATATATATTTATATATATATACACTGAGTGGCCAGATTATTATGACCACCCCATCAGAAAAAACATACAATAAATGACACAAATCAGCAAAGACAATAAAGTGGCTATGTAACATATAGCCACGCAGAATACATGGATGACTCACCAGGGTGGCCCAAGGAGGAGAACCATTTCAGCAGCAGTAGCATGAAGGAAAATGTAAGGCGGGAGATGGAGCTGTCAGTGTAATGGACGATCGGGTGGAAGAATATCCTGCCATGTCACAGCCCTCTCCTCTTCTTGGAGTGTCTAATTATTCTCTGTACTGGTCCAGCTCCTCTGCCCCTCCCCTCCATACCTAACGTTTTTGTAGCAGCCAAGGGAATAAAACAGAGCAGGGGTTGGCAACCTCAGCTGCGGTGAAACTATTATTGCTATCATGCCTCTGGGAGCCATGTCTATGGCTGTCAGAGTCTTGCAGTGCCTCATGGTTTTTGTAGTTTCACCACAACTGCAGTTCCAAGGTTTCCTACCCTTACTATAGTACCACTTGAGTGGCAGCTCTGAGTCTGCTGGGACTGCTGACATCACATCCAAGATGGTGGCAGTGGTCCCGGGTCTTTTGGATGTCTACACAAGAGACGCCTTTACAGGTAAATAAAACTGCATAAAATACATTAAATGCAAAAAGATTTGGGTTAAAATCTTTATAGTAAATATTGGTATTATTTGCGTGGAAATAAGTAAGGCCAAACCTTTCTTTCTGGCTATATATGTATTTTGGGTCATGTGATTGGTCAGCTCTCATTTTTAGAGCCGGTGTGACAGCTGCAGTGTCGCACGCTGGCTCCAAGTATTGGGGAGTGTATGTTTTCCTCCCCCTTACATTGGTGGTCAGTGGGAAGAATGCTCCTTACATTGGTGGTCAGTGGGAAGAATGTTCCTTACATTGGTGGCCAGTGGGAAGAATGCCCC